GTCGCCGTCTCCATCGCCGCCGCCGCCGTCGCCGCTACCGTCGTCGTCGTCGTCGTCGTCGTCGTCGTCGTCGTCGTCGTCGTCGTCGTCGTCGTCGTCGTTGTCGTCGCCCCTTCCGCCGCCGCCGCCGTCGCCATGGTTGTGGTCGTCGTCTTGGTTGTCGTTGTTGTCATCGTTGCCGTCGTCGTCGTCGTCGCCGTCGTGTGCGTCTGCGTCGGCGCCGTCGTCGGCGTTGGCGTCGGCGTTGTCACCGTCATCGGCGTCGGCGTCGTCGTCGGCGTCGGCGTCGGCGTCGGCGCAGTTGCCGCCGCCGCCGCCGCCGCCGTCGCCATTGTTCGTGCCGCCACCGTCGTCGCCCCCAACGTCGCCGTCGGCCGTCGGCTCGGCCAGGTCAGAGGCCTCCTGCTGGCCGCGGTGGCCGCGGCGGACGGCCTCGCCTGTGCCGCGCTCGCGGCAGCGTGCGCCGCAGGCGGCGGCGGGCGGTTCGTCGGCGGCAGGTGGAGGTATTCCAAGTTTTTGTTGGTCAGCACGAAGAACTGGGTACGGGAAAAATATGCACGACTCCGACCACAGTTTCCGTTCATTTTGAACAGGACTCGCTGTCGGTGTCGCTGCCGACGGTGTCTATTTAAGGCAGAGGGCGGCCTTCCCAACAGCGGCCGCCGTCGGTTTTGGACAACATTTGTTGTTTGGCACCGTCCCCATTCGTTCCCACCCATTCCGGGCGTCCAAAATAGAGGTATTGAGCTGAGTTGTTGTCTTATTTTCTCTTTGTGGCCCAGATCGCCACCGTTGAGGCGGCAGTTCTCATACGCACGCGCACCTCACTCAAGCCCTTGCATGCAGACTGCCAGGCACTCCTGGACTGAGGCCGCGCACGACGACCACAACGACGACGGGTACGACGACGACGGTGACGACGACGACGCCGACGACGGTGACGCCGCTGACGACGACGATGACGAAGATAACGACGACGACGACGACGACGAGGACGACGACGACGACGATTATGCGACGGCGACGGCGACGCGACGACGACGACGACCACGACGACAACGCCGACGGTGAGACGACGTCGACGACGACGAAGGTGTACGAGCCGATGGTGTTCAGCTGGTTTGGCCGCCTCGTACACAAGTTCGGGTAATGTAGGGTCGAGTAGGGTGGAGTAGAGTAGAACAGAGTAGAGTAGAGTAAGTACTGTAGAATAGACGAGAATAGAGGAGAGCAGAGTGGGACTAGGAGTAGGGTGGAGTAGAGTAGAGTAGTGTAGTGTAGAGTAGGTTCGGGCAGGGTAGGGTTGGGCAGAGTAGAGTAAGGTAGGGCAGAGTAGAGTGGAGTAGGGTAGATGGTACAGTATAATCGGGTACAAATGAGTAAAGTAGGGTAGAGTAGAAACGAACTCACAAGTCGCGTCACATTTAACGTAACAAATTCGGGGACGATTCTGACCCTGAATCCCCATCCCCCATCCCCCTCCTATTCCCCAGCCTCCCCCTCTTCCCCCTCCTCCGGCTTCTCCTCCTTCTCCTCCTTCTCCTCCTCATCCTTTTCCTCCTCCTCCTCCTCACTCCTTCCATCCAGCCCCCATCCACCCTTCCATGCAGCCTTCATCCTTTCTGCTCCCATCCACCCTCATCCTTCCAAACGTCCCTCCGTCCATCCAGCTTCCGTTCATCGCAAGCGGGCCGATTCCATCTTTCTCATCCTCGTCATCCCCATCCTGCTTCTCATCGTTACCTTCCCTCCTCTCTCCTCCGCCCTATTCTTTCCTCCTCCTCCTCCTCCTCCTCCGCCTCCTCCTCCTCCTCCCCCTCATCGTCCTCCTCCTCATCTTCCTCCTCCTCCTCCTCCCCATCCTCTTCCTCCTCCTCCTCCTTCTGTTCCTCCCTCCTCTGGCCCGTGACTCCATCCAGACCCATCCCTCCATCCAGCCTCTTTCCAACCCTCTGTCCACCCCCCGCTCCATCCAGTTGCGCACCACCCCTCCATCAATACAGCATGAGCGCCTCCCTCCTCCCAATCTCATCCCTCCATGACGCCTCCATCCATGCCTCTCGCCCTCCCCCACCCCTTCCCCATCCATCATCCATCCGGCTACCACCCCTCCAACACACGCCTCGTCACATCATCACCGCTCCTCTTCGTCATTCCCCTCTTCTTCATGTTCCTCATCTTCTTCCTCCTCCTCCTCATTCTCCTCCTCCTCCTCCGCATCCTCCTCCTCCTCCTCCTCCTCCTCCTCCTCCTCCGCATCATCATCAGGATCATCGTCATCGTCATCGTCAGCATTGTCATCGCCATCGTCATCGTCGTCATCATCATCATAATCATCATAATCATCAACATCATCATCATCATCATCATCATCATCATCATCATCATCATCATCATCATCAGCATCGTCATCGTCATAATCAGCGTCATCGTCATCATCATCAGTAGCATCATCATCGTCAGAATCAGCGTCAGCGTCGTCATCATCATCATCATCAGCATCATCATCATCATCATCAGTCTCATCATCATCAGTCTCATCATCATCATCATCTTCATCATCATCACCACCACCATCATCATCATCATCATCATCATCATCATCATCATCATCATCATCATCATCATCATCATCATCATCATCATCATCATCATCATCATCATCATCATCATCATCATCATCATCATCATCATCATCATCATCATCATCATCATCATCATCATCATCATCATCATCATCATCATCATCATCATCATCATCATCATCATCATCATCATCATCATCATCGTCAACATCATCAAACTCGTCGACATCGCCATCCCCATCCTCATCTTCATCATCATCATCGTCATCATCATGATCACCATCGGCATCATCAGTACTCTCCTCCTCCTCCTCCTCTTCCTCTCTCCTTCTCATCCTCTCTCCTTCTCCTGCTGGTCCTCCTCCTCCTCCTTCCCCTCCTCCTCCTCCTCCTCCTCCTCCTCCTCCTCCTTCTCATCCCCTTCCTCCCACCGTGCCTGCCCCTCCTCCTCCTCCTTCTCCTCCTCTTTTTGCGCCTCCTGCTTCCCCCCTTCTCCCCGACCCGGCCCCCATTACCGACAGAAGCAGGTGACCGCTGGAGCGGAGAAGACACGCAAGAACGATAAGGGAATGCCTGCGTGATGTGTGGTAAGGGAATGCCCGTGTGCTGTCAGGTGAGGGAATGCTTGTTGGCTGTCTGGTAAGGGAATGCCTGCGTGCCCTCTGGTCAGGAAATGCCCGTGTGCTATCTGGTAAGGGAATGCCTCTTAGCTGTCTTGTTCGGTGATGCCTGTTGGCTGTCTGGTGGTAAGGGAATGCCTGCGTGCTGTCTGGTCAGGGATACATGTCAGCTGTCTGGTTGGGTGCTGGTTGGGCGTTGTCTGTTGGTTGCCTGGTCAGATCAGATGGCGATGACATTTCGCACGGCGGAGTGGGAAACGCGATCACACCCTGAGCTGAAAGATGCGTCTTGGGCAACCAGCAAAACGCATAACGGAAGACGCCCTCCAAAGTTGACACCGAAGGCGCAATCGCCTGCGACCCGCGCGAGTGTTCCAACCGCCTCTCAACTTGAAGGGGGGGGGGGGGAGCGGGATCTGCGTTGAGCAAGTTTGAAGGAAGGGCGGCAGATGCGCCTCTCAACTTTGGAAAGGCCGCCGCTGCGTCAGGCTAATTTTGATGCGGCCTGTATTATATCAGCGTAGAATAGAAAGTTGGAGTATAGTAGTGTAGGCGTAGGGTAGGGCTGGGAGTAGGATTAGGACTCGAGTAGTGCAGAGCAGTGCAGAGTAGGTTCGGACAGGGGCAGGGCAGGGCAGGGTAGAGCAGAGTAGAGCAGGGTAGAGTAGAAAAGAGTAGAGTAGAGCAGGGTCGATGGTAGAGTCGAGTCGGGTATAACAAAATAGAGTCGAGTAGAGCAGGACAGAGTGGGAGTATAGTCGAGTAGATTTAGAGCAGAGTAAAAGTAGGAGTAGAGCATACTAGAGTAAATTAGGGTAGGGCAGGGTAGACTAGGTTAGAGTAGAGCAGAGTATACTAGATAGTAGTAGGTGGGTGGTAGAGTAGAGTCGGGTATAAAAGAGTAGAGTAGAGTAGAGTAGAGTAGAGTGTTGTAGAGTTCACCGCAGTCCAGTTCAGGCTACTCTTGTCCAGTCTACCTCAGTCCACTCCAGTTCACTTCATGTCAGCCTTATCCTCTTGGAGTCTGCGCTGGCTGATTTTTCCGAGAGTTTTGTAATGTTTCTGTTGTGTGCTAAGCCGTCTGTTGTCCGTCGTCGTCGCCGTCGTCCTTGCAGTCAGAGGGGTGGGGGCCCCCTCCCCGGTTCGAACGCCCCCCCTTGTACATAGGGGGGAGCTCGTTCGACCCCCCCCCCCTGCAGCAAGTCAATTCATGCCCCCCCCCCCTTTCGCTGGTTCGAACCCTTCCCCCCTCCTGCACAGAGAAGGGGGGCCCGTCGGTTCGCATCTCCTTGCCCACTTGGAGGGCCCCCCCCTCCCCAGTTGAGGGAGGCCGGCGCCCGGGGGGGGGGGGGGCGGAAGGTTTTCACGGCATGCTATACGTGTTTTGCGGGGGTGGGCGGGGGGGGGGCGGTTCACGTGTCCAATTTTTTTTCCAAGGCAAGCGTCCACGAAACGCGTTCTGTCCACAGTTAGCTGCTCAGGGGATGGGGGCTCATCCGAGCACGTCTGATTCGGACGTGCCTTCTCGTCCTCATCAACGCCAGCATCGTCTACGCCATGGTCGGATGCCGCCCATGCTGCCAGGTGCAGTACGAGGCCGCGATTGGCCGCTTGACTCTGAGGTTCAAAAGCGCAGGTCTTGAGACGGGTTTCGTTGTGTCGAGGAAGCAGCGGCTAAGTGAGTGGACATCCATCATGATGCTTGGGGTGTTTGTCCTCTGCGTCTTTTCCTTGAGTCCTGATCGGTTTGAAGCGCCAAGTGATGTGATAATGTGGCAATCGGCAGTTTTCTGAGGCGGCACGGCGGTGGTGGCCGTGATGCTGATCGTGGCAAAGGCGTTGGAGCGCAGTTGCTTGTCATCGCGCAATGCAGTTTTGTGCATGGAGGTCACCACGGCTGTTGCGAGTGTTGTCATGATGGTGGTCGGGGTCGGTGTCAGCCGCCACTACATCGCGAGAACAGCTGGATACGATGATACCGAGGCAGTGTGGGGCCGCGATCTTGGATACATTGACGTCGTTAACCTACTTGTTGTCAATCTGTGTGCGTCAGTCGGCCACCTAGCGCCAGTCCGTTGGGTGTTCTTGTTCCCACTGGAGGTTGCGCTGGTGTTTGTGTTCGGGCTGCCGGTCTTTGTGCGGAGCAGCCCCTCTCCGGACGACGTCCCAATCTTATCCTTCGTTGCGGTATGTTTGGCCGTTTTGGCGGCCGTTGGAAAGCGGCATAGCGAATTGAATGACCGGCTCATCTTCAAGAGCTTGCTGTCTGAAAAGAAATTGAGGTTCGAGGCCGAACACGAGCTTGCTGTGCAACAGGAGTCGGCTGGCGCCACAAACGGCACGGACACCCTCGCGGCGACCTCCGCGACGGGTTCTTTTCTGAAGATGACGTCCACGGCGTTCCTCTTCGAGGTGGACCAGAATGGCGGCTCGGCTAAGCTGCGTGAAATTGGTATCAGAGAGCAGTGGCTGATCGAGGATACTGAAGACAAGGCACTGCCTGACCGAGTTCTTGGCAGAGGCGGGTTCGGCCTTGTGACCCTCGGGGTCTACCACAACACGCCCGTCGCTCTAAAGGCGCCCCAGCAGGACGCCGAAACGAACGTTGTTAATCTCTCTGCGCTTTGCAACGAGCTGCGGATCCTTCGACGGCTCCGGCACCCCAACATCTTGTTTTTCTACGGAGCCACCTTGGGCGGCAGCTTCGTGCGACTTTGCCTCGTGCTCGAGCATATCGACGGTGTCAACCTGGGGCGCTTCATTCAGCCGCACAAGCTCGCGGGCAGCAGTGGCGAAGCAGTGGATCCGCAGCGCTATCCCCGCAGCAGCACCGCCATCGTCAACGAGCGGAAGCGGATCGTGTGTGACATTCTGAATGCGCTGCGCTACCTGCACTCACGGACCCCGGCGGTTGTCCATGGCGACCTGAAGGACTCTAATATCTTCGTGCAACAGCTGTGCCTCCATGGTGACACCGTGGCGCGCGCGAAGCTGCTGGACTTCGGCCTCGCGCGCCTGCTCACTCGCTCGGCGGAGCCTATGGGCGGCACCGCGCGGTGGATCGCCCCCGAGCTTTTGGGGAAGAAAGGGATTCGGCCAGATAGGGCAGCGGATGTTTATTCTGTCGGCCTGCTGATGTTCTTCATCTCCACTGGGGCGAAGCCCTTCGAGGGCGCTGCTGCCGCAGAGAGTGGCTTCCCTCGATCGTGGCCTCCAACGACAATCGCTCGAAGACGACCTCGCTATCGAGGCCTCCCTCAATCGTGGCCCGACTGGCACTGGTGCATGGCGTCGGTGAAGCAGCGCACGCAGACGCGGCCGGAGCAGCGCCCGACCGTCGAGGCTGTTTCCGATGAGCTCGATCGAGGGCTCGACATCTCAAGCCAGGTCGGAGCCAGCGATGCGAAGAGCGACGGGGATCCCAGCTTCCCCCGCCCGGAGCAGGCGAGGTCGCTCGACCTTTCTTTTCCACGTGGGCAGCCGTCCGAGCTGGCCGTCGTCTTCGACGGTGCCACTTTCGCCGTCCTCGGCATGTCCCCCAGGCAAGGGCGGATGCGAGACATGCACGGCAAGCTTATTGATCCAGATTTCCGTCAAGATACAATGGCTGATTACCTCAGCAGCGTGCCGCGGGCGGCGCGAGAGACAACGCCTATGCAGGCAAACATGCTGGGGCCCTCGCTCCCCGTGGAAGTCGGGCCCATCCAAGATTGGGAAGTCGTCGAGGCAGCAAAGGCGATGAGACGGGAAAAAGCTTGCGGATCAGACGAAGTTCCCGGGGATTTTTGGCAGGCAATATGTCGCCCAGACTCGCCGGCGCAAGCTTGGGCCACCGCGCTATGCCAGAAATGCTGGGAAGACGGTAACATCCCAGAGAGCTGGCGCGAGTCGCTGGTGATCACCATCTTCAAGAAGGGCGACCCTTCCCTGTGCGAGAACTACCGGCCCATCTGCTTGCTGCAGGCCGGTTGCGTACAAACTTTTCGCAGCAATACTTTTGCGCCGCTTGAAGAGGGCAGGGGCGGATTGCATAATCTGGCGGACGCAGTTCGGGTTCAAGTCAAAGCGCGGCACAAATGACGCGATCTTCATTGCGAGGCGCAGACTGGAGGAGGCATTCGCGCGGACTGACAAGCCGTTTGTGCTCCTCGCTATGGATTGGGCCAAGGCTTTCGACAGTGTCATGCCCGACGCTCTCATAGCAGCCCTGCGCCGATTCGGGCTACCAGGCAAGATGCTTGACGTCGTCCAGGGGGTCTATTCTGACGGGCTTTTACCGTCCTCCCCTGGGGCGCGAAGAACGCGCTCGGTGACCTGGCCGGGCGCGTCAGTGACCTGGTGTGCGCGGACGACACTTTGATTGTGGCTTCCAGCGCTGCGGGTGCGGAGGAGTACATGAAGGGCATCGCAGACGCCGGAGCTCATTTTGGCTTGAAGTACAATTGGCGGAAGCTCGAGCTCATGGCCACTGGGTGCAACGCCCATGCTATACTTAAGCCTGACGGCAACCCAATCCCGCAGAAAACGAGCATGATGTACCTGGGAAGCGTCTTGACATTGGATGGTTCTGTCGGTGCAGAATGGAGCCGGCGGATCGGCCGAGCCAGGTCAGAGTTCGATTATTTGCAGCCTGTTTGGTCTCATTCTTCGATGTCTACCAAGAGAAAGATCAGCGTGTACCTTGCGCGCGTCAAGTCGACGCTGCTGTGCAGCCTCCACACATCTTGGTTGCGTCAGCGCGAACTGGCCAGACTGAATGCTTTTCCAGGCGCGGTGCCTGCGGATAATCCTTGGCATCAGGCATTCTTATGTCAGTTGAGTCACCAACGCCGCGGCGTTGCAGCGAGCCGGGCGCGGCAAGCTCAGCGACCTCTTGCTGCGACGGCAGTTGATCCTGTTCGGGGAAATCGCACGGGGGGCCGACGACCACCCTGTCCGCATGGTTGTCTTCCAGCCTTCTTCCTCTGAGCTGGCGCGGGCGCCCGGCCGCCGGGAGAGGGGCGGGCCCCCGCAGGCGTGGGCAACAGAATGGTCCAAGCACGCTGAGCAGATTTGCCGTAAGTACGGTGGGAACTTTTCAGATTTGGGCACCTTTCCAGCGGAGGCCTGGAAGGCAGCCGTGCGCAAGTATACTGTCCAGCGCGCGCTCGTGCCATTGCTCATGTGCCTACGGGCGCGCGGCCTCATTCATTCATTCATCCGGCGCCCCCCCGCCTTCGACTCGCACTTCGGGGCGTGCCCGCCAGGGTCGGCCGTGAGCGGGTGGCTCTCCCCAGAGAGCTTGGAGGCTTTCTGCGACCGAGTCAACAGCTTCTGCGCTTCTGGCATGTCCCTGTGCACCTTCGACTGGGAGTCGCGGGGCCTCCAGCTGCCCCGCGCCCCAGACGTGCTGGTACCTCGCCGCGTCTCGGTCGCGCTCAGGGCGGGCTGCAGGGGCGAAGAGGGGAGAATCGTGGCACGCATTGTTTCCCATGAGCCGAGACCGCGCCCTCCACCTCCCCGACGGCGATGCAGATTCCTCTCGGCCACAGTGCCCTTCCCGCGAGCAGCGCCCAGGCGCGGCGCCAGAACCTCCTCTGGCCTCGGTGCCCGAGGCCGTGCGCGGCCAAGACGCCGCCCCTCCTGCGCGCTCGCCTCTCGAGCCCACGGCGCAGAGGGCGAGGTCTCCCCTGAGCTTCTGACTGACGCGACGAGGTGCGCGCCCACTGAGGCGCGGCATCGGCACCACCCAAACATATGCACAAAGGCTGGGGGGCCGGGTCGGGGGGGCCTGGGGCCGGAGCCCCCGTGTGTGTGCCGGGGCGCTTGGGGGGCCCCTGGGGCCGGCCAAGCGCCGCCGGGCAGCGCCGAGAGTCCCCGGACGCTACAAGAGAGCCCCGAGGCCCAAAGATTGCCAAGACGCCCAACATGGCCTCCAGACGGCCCAACAAGCCTTGGAGACGCCTTGGGAGGCACTCCCGAGAGGGCTCCAAGATGCAAAGACCCTTGATATTCCATAGGTTTATCTGACAGAATGTGGCATTCTCGCTTTTTCGGCTCCCCGACGCTCCAGGACGGCCCCAAAGGTGGCCAATGCCGCCCAACGACAGCCGACGAAACCTCCAAGAGGGCCCCCAGATGGACCAAGACGGCCTCCAGACGGCCCAAGAAGCCTCCAAGACGGCCCCAGAGGCCCCCAAGACAGCTCCACGAGGGAACCCAGACGGGAGACTGCGCCTCGTATAGGGGCGGCGCGAGTGTCGCATTCTAGAATTTGGGCATCTCACGGCACGGCACGTGGGCGGCGCATGCTCGCATTCTAGAGCAGAGATAATCGGTTGTTTGGGTTTTATGCATCTCAGAACGCAGGCGCGACACGCGGGCACGCCACGGCACGGCACACGTTTCGCATTCTTGTTTTCAGAATCGCTTGTCTTACAAACTCCTTACAGCACTCGTCGGTCGCTAGAAGGGCCCCTAGAAGGCCCCAAGAAGACTCTCCAACGAGGCAAGGGAAGCCGACGTGTCCAGCCCTGTGCGGAATGGGGAGGAGGGGTGACGATGACAACGACGTCCTCCCCCACCTCCGCCTTAATGCTCGTCAGCCTCCCTCCGCGTTTGCCGTTTGCCTTCCTCCTCGTCTGGCGCCCCGAGCACGGGCAGGGGAGCCAGCGAGCATCAGTGCGGTCGTGCTCGCGCACGGCACCAATCTTTTGTTCTTCTTGCGTGGCCGCCCCGAGCATCAGCAAGGCCGCCAGCTCTCCCCCGGACCACCGTCTTCTCGGCGCCCCCAGACGCCCCCTGCAGGATCTTCTCCTTCTTTCCCCTTCCCTCTTCTCCCCGTCCATCGTTTCCCATGTTCCCGCCTCACCTTCCCTCCGCTCTCTTTCCATATCCTTCCGCCTTCCATTCCCCTCTCCACCTCCCTCCATGACCCGTCCGTCTATCCCTTCCTCAATCTTCTATACTTCCCTCCGCGCTCTTCCCGCCCTTTCCCTCCCTTTCTTCTTTGGCTAGCTGCAGGGTCACGATGTTCGTAGCGTCGGTACTGGCGCTCTGCGGTGTGCATGATGCCCGTCAAGGCGCCCCTCAGACGGCCCCAAGACCCAACGCAAGGATTCGACGATCCCCGAAGACCCCCATACCCAAAACGGCCCAAGACGGGCCAAGACGGCCCAAGAGCGTCCGGAGATGTCCCAACAAGGCTCTGGGACGGCCCAGGAAAGCCGAAGAGGACCCAGGGTGCCCCCAAGAAGCTGCAAGACAGTCCCCAGAGGACACCACCACGGCTAGCACCTGATGGCCCAATTGTCGCGCGCGTGGTTCTACTATACATATACCGGGGGACCTAGCCCCGGGTGCCCTGGGGCCGAAGACCACCAGGGGCCACCGGTGTATAATTAGTCCCCCCTCTCCCCCCACGGCCTCCCCAGAGCGCCTCCAGAGCCTCCCAGGAGCTGCCCTGAGCCTCCTCTCAGCCTCCAGATCAGTTCGGACGGAGTCCAAGACGGGCGAATAAGGCTTCGGGCCGGCCCTAGACGCATTCATTCCAGACAGCTCCAGGCAGCCCAAGGTGGCTTCCAAACGGCCTCAGATGCTTCCTATTGGCCTCAAGGCTCAGAGAGAACCCCACAAGGGCTCCAACAGGCAATAATCGTCCCATTCCTCATTGACCTTGACCTTCCCAAGCTTTGGGATGTACATAGCTCGTCTATTGCAGACGTGGCCGGCCTCTTGCCCGAGTTCTTCCCAACAATTGTGGATTCGGATTATAAGGCCGCCGACTGCAAAAAGGATGCGCCTTGGCAGGCTGATCGAAGTTTCCCAGGCGAGCTGGCCATACAGGAGCCGTACCAGGCTGACCTTACATTTGGAAAGAATACCAACAACCTCGATCCTCGCCGCCGCCGTCGTCGTCGTCGTCGTCGTCGTCGTCGTCGTCGTCGTCGTCGTCCTCTCATCGTCGTTCGCCGGGGGTCTGGGTTTGGGGGTCAGCAGGCTTTGGGTTTGGTCAAAGAGCGCGGCCCATCCCTGGGCGCGTTCCGCCCACGATGTCGAGGGGAATCCAGCCGTGGTCACGAGGAGCCTTCCAGAAGCCTTCGAAAGTACTAAGACGCCTAAAAACACTCGGGCCTCAAAGCCGATCCCCGCTGTCCTGGGGTGTGCTCTGGCCAGAATTTCGAGGCGGATCCAGCCGTGACCACGGGGACTTCTCAGGATGCTCCCAAAATGGAGAACGACCTCGAGCCTCGATCCTCGCCGCCGCCGCCGTCGCCGCCTCCGTCGCCGTCGTCGTCGTCGTCGTCGTCGTCGTCGTCGTCGCCGTCGCCGTCGTCGTCGTCGTCGTCGTCGTCGTCGTCGTCGTCGTCGTCGTCGTGGTCGTCGTCGTGGTCGTGGTCGTCGTCGTCGTGGTCGTCGTCGTCGTCGTCGCCGTGGTGGTGGTGGCAGTGGTGGTGGTGGTGGTGGTGGTGGTCGTCGTCGTCCTCGCAGCAGAGCCAGTAAAGTCTATAAACCCCGAGCCTCGAACCCCGATCCTCGATCCTCACCGCCGCCGCTGTCGTGGTCGTGGTCGTGGTCGTCGTCGTCGTCGTCGTCATCGTCGTCGTCGTCGTCCTCGTCGTCGTCGTCGTCCTCGTCGCCGCCACTGTCGCCGCCGCCGCCGCCGCCGCCGCCGCCGTCGTCGTCGTCGTCGTCGTCGTCGTCGTCGTCGTCGTCGTCGTCGTCGTCGTCGTGGTGTTGGTGGTGCTGGTGGTGGTGATGGTCGTCGTCGTCGTCGTCGTCGTCGTCGTCGTCGTCGTCGTCGTCGTCGTCGTCTGGGTCGTCGTCTTCCTGCCTGCCGAGGCGGCGTGATTCCAGCGCCCGCCGCTGCTGCCCACCTGGGCCTCGGGCTGGGCGTCACGATGCTGCTCTCGGTCGGCCGCCGTCGGCGTTGTCGCTCTCTTCGGTGGCTCATCCTCGAATTTTCCGTCTCGGCTCCACCTCATCCTCATTTCTCCTCCTCAAATGTTTTTCATTTCTCCTCACATTTTCCGTCTCGGCTCCACCTCCTCGTCCTCGTTTCTCCTTTCTTCGGCTTCTCCTCCTCTTCGTCCACTTCGACTCCTCGGTTTCGGTCGGCCTGTCGATCGGTCGGTCGTTCGTCGTGGTCGTTCCGTCGTCGTCGTCGTCGTCGGCGTCGTCGCCGTCGTCGTCACTGTTGTTCGTCCTTCCCCTCGACTCCTTCTCCTTTCGCCTCCTCCTCCTCCTCCTGGTCATCTTGAACTCCTCCTCCTCCTCCTCCTCCTCCTCCTCCTCCTCCTCCTCCTCTGCGTCCTCCTCCTCCTTCTTTTCCTCCTCCTCCTCCTTCTCCTCCCTCGCTTTCGCCACCCTCCTCCTCATCCTCTTCCCCGCCATACCTGTCTACCTCCCCTCGTCCCTCGCCCTCTCTCCCCCCCCTCCCCCCTCGCCCTCTCTCGTCCGCCCCTTCTCCCTTCGCCCTCCGCCCTTTGCGCCCTCCACCCTCCCTGCCTACTCGCCCGCTGTCCGTCTCCTCTGTATTGTCCCTCCTCGTCCGCCCCTGGACATCGCGAGCCGGCGCCTCCGCCCGAAGGCAACGGAGGAGGAGGAGGAGGAGGAGGAGGAGAAGGAGGACCTGAAACTCCCTCTCAGTATGCCTCTATAAGGGTTCATTTCCACTGGGAGGTGCCCCGTTGGGAGACAACCGTTTGAAGATCCGGACGCCTGCCAAAACACCGTTTTCGTGACTCCAGCGCCACGAATGAACTTGGTTTGTGCGTCTTGACGATGCTGACTCGTGCTAGAGCGCCGTTCATGTGACTTCAAAACCGCGAATCAGCGTAATCATTGTGCCCTGGCAATCCTGAGTCGTTCCAGGACACCCTTTCAGGAACCGCGGAACTTCTGCAGTTTTTATGACGAGGATGCGCGGCGCTAAGGCGAAAACCACAGTTCGAAAAGGAATAGCCCCCAATCCGTGACATTCTCGTAGCTTTTTCCCTACCTAGGCTCTGCCTAGAAGGGTTCTTACTGTGTATGCTTAAAGGGCCAGGCAGTGGAACACGTCCCGGGCGGTTCCCCCGGCATCCGCCCCGCGGTTCCCCGAGTTGCGCCCCCTGGGTTCACCCAGCTTAGCTTAGCTAAGCTTAGCTTAGCTTAGCTTGGCTTGGCTTGGCTTAGCTTAGCTTAGCTTAGCCTAACCTAGCTTAGCTTAGCTTAGCTTAGCATAGCTTAGCTTACCTTAGCTTAGCTTAGCGCAGCGCAGCATAGCACAGCGCAGCATTAGCACAGCATATCATAGCATAGCATAGCCAAGCATAGCATAGCATAGCATAGCATAACATAGCTCATCATATCATAGCACATCACAGCATATCATAGCATAGCATAGCATAGCATAGCATAGCATAGCGCAGCATAGCATAACACAGCGCAGCATATCATAGCATAGCATATCATAACATATCATATCATACCATATCATATCATAGCGTAACATAGCATAGCGCAGCATATCATATCATATCATAGCCTAACATATCATAGCATAGCGCAGCATAGCATAACATAGCATAGCGCAGCATAGCATAGCATAGCATAGCACAGCATAGCATAGTATAGCATAGCCTAGCATAACACAGCGCAGCCGAGCGTACCCTAGCATAGCATACCATAGCTGTCGGTGTAGATGTAGATGTTGCTTTCCTAAATGCTCCAATTCCTAGGTAGGGTCGCACTGGGATAATTGAAAGCGGATGTCCGCGGCGCCAAGGAAATAGCCACATTTCGAAAACGGCCCGCCCTCGATCTATGAACCTTTTGCACACATTAAATAAACCAGCGCGCGCGGCGCTAAGGCGAGAACCACATTCTGAAAACGACCCGCCTTAATTCGTGAGGCTATTGCAGTGTTTTAAGTCGAGTGTGCGCGGCGCTGAGGCGAGAACCGTATTTTCAAAACGGCCCGCCCTCAATCCGTGAAGCTGATGCAAATGTTGAAGACTGATGTGCGCTGTGCAACGGCGAGAGCCACACATTGGAAGCGGCCCGCCCTCCATTTGTGAAGCTGTTGCCATTTTTTGAGGTTCAGGATCGTCCATGCTTAGGAAATCGCAGGCGAACCGCCCGGCTTGCCCTTTCGACCGGCCTCGGGGTGCGACAGGGAGGAATTGTGTATTTCGGAAAAGGAACGGAGGAGGAGGAGGAGGAGGAGGAGGAGGAGGAGGAGGGGGGGGCGGAGGAAGAAGAAACCGCGATTGCCCCATCACGCCCCCATTTGCCAAGCAGGGGGGCCGAGGCGGCGGTCAGCGTGGCCTTCGCGCGTCCATCAGGCCCACGATAAACGACACTAGCTCGCATCGCGACCGACGCCAGCGGCGACCACAACCACATTGGCAACAACGACATCACGGGGCGAGAGGTCCCGCAGCCCCGCCTGGCACGGGCGACTGCGTCGACAGTTTGATGATGCTCGAGTTCTATTGTGCTTACACAAACCGCGTGAAATATTTCAAGCACGCACAGTGCACAACGACCGCCACGACATCCACCACAAACTCCAGCAATGGCGGCACCGTGGCGATCAACGCTGAGCCGAACTGCGAGCACGGGCCCACCTATGCGGTCCACTGCAACTGCGATTGGCGAAAGGTTGGATCGGTGGAGGAACGACCAACGGGGGGCGCAGCGGGCAGCCCAACAACCCGACACTAATGGGAGCAAGGGCGCCAACGTCACAACCAAGGGCATCAACAGCAAGGGTAATAACAACTTTCCCAAACCCAGCGACGACCACGCCGTGGGCGACAGCAGGCCGCAGAAGGGTAATGCGCCCAACAATAGCAAGAAAACTCGGCCAAACAGGAGCATCTTGAATCAAACCAGAATTGAAACGACCACATCGCCAAAACCATCAACAATGCCATGCCCATGCGAAATGTCTACGCTGCCACCGGCTGGGAGACACCACGGGACGACCCCGAATTCAAATAGGAGTGGAATAATACCACGCAGGCCAACGCAACGCAGCCGCATCCATTATGAAGAACAGCACCGCCGGGTTTCAGACCAACGGCGCCGATGACCACGCCATCTTCATCAGAGCCATGGTCATCAGCAGTATGCCACTCGCCCAGCAGGTCAGGCATACCGAGCGCATTCACGAGGTACTGGATGACCACGTGCAGTACGCCACGGCGCGCCACATGGAGGTGGAGGTCTAGGTGGCAACCTTGGGAGGGGAATCTCACCGAACTCTACGTCATCAGGAATGACATCAGCTGCGCCAGGGACGGCGCCTGCAATGGCGCAGGGGCCGCCGACGACGAGGCGGGACCATCCCGCAGGGGAGGCCGACCGAGGGGGGCCGCAACGCCAGCGCGTATGAGGAAGACGTGGGCCAGGGAGTCGACTGACGGGCAGAACACTGGCGCCCTCTTGAAAATTCGGAAGGAGGATAACTGACATCTCGTCCACACCGTCAGGAAACACAGGAAAGAGGCCAAGGAACAAGTCGACGACCTTCGCAATATCAGCGTTGAGCTGGAAGCCGCAGGAATGAGGCTAGAGCCGAAGTACAGGAGCGACGACGGCACTTGCGAGGCGTCGAGGCCAACGAAGCAGATCGAGCTCAGGAAAAGGTTGACACTGGGAGCTCGCCACCGCCGTAGTATCTCGCGACAATTATGGCCACGCGCCATGAATATGTACATGATGTACATGAGCGAGTCGCAGCCGAGCCTCGCGGCGCCGAGGAGGATATGGACAGCGTCGGGAAGGGCAACGTCGACCTCCAGCACAAACGCAACCGCAAGAAGAGGGGGCGTGCGTCGTGGACATCGAGAACGCCGGCGAAGGCGCAGCAGCAGTTCGATTGCCGCGAGCACAACCGCAGTTCCGCGCAACGGCAGGTGCAATTTGCAGAGAAGTCCGCCGCTGACAGGGGCGCCTACTACAGCGAGATGAAGGAGGCAGAGCACCACGTCTGTGTCGTCGAAGCAGAGACGCTCAACGACTTGAGAGCGCCAGTGGGGCCCTGCCGACGCGCGGCAAGCTCCGAGGACCTGCTTCGCGACGCCCGCGCGGGGCGGGGAGGTAGAGAAATATTGGCGGAGGCCACCTTCCGAGAGAGAGTCGCCGGCGTCGCGGGTCTGGCGCGAGCTTGAGACGCCGAACAATCACGGCGCCATGATCAACAGCGGGGCACGGCGATCGCTGGCGCGAACGAGCGCCAGGAGCAGGCGCAACAACGCGCGGCGCAAGCAGGGGGCCAACTGCAGATTGGCCCGCGGCGAGCGGAGATCGGCCCCCACTGGCGGAGCGAGGTCCGTCAGCGCGAGATCGACACGTGGAAACAAAAAGAGGCAACGTGGGGGGGCGTCACGCAGTCCACCGGAAGCGCGGCGAGGAGGCCGCCCAGGAAAATTCTTACGCGCAGCAAGCTGCAGCTCAGGCACAACAGCGCCTGTCGCACGTCGAGGTGCGAGACCGGCCCGAGACGGCGCCGTCCGCCGAGGTCCCAGGCGACGCCTAAGCCGGCTATCTAAGCGTCTCCAACAAACCGGAGAAAGACGCGAAACGCGCGAAAAGTAGAAAAATGCGACAAGTGCGAAAATTAAAAAAGTAGAAAAGTGCGAAAAGCGCGAAAAGTGCGAGAAGTATGAAAAGTAGAAAAGTAGAAAAGTGGACAAGTGCGAAACATGCGAAAAGTAGAAGCGTGCGAGAAGTGCGAAAAGTGCGAAAATCGAGAAAAGTGCGAAAAATACGAAAAGTGCGAACATTGCAAAAGGTGTGAAAGCGCAAAAAATGCGATAATTAGAAATGTGCGAAACGTGTGAAAAGTGCGAAAAGTGCGAAAAGGACGAAGAGTATAACATTGCGAAACAAACGCGAAACGCATACAAGTAGAAAAGTGCGA